CACGTCATCTGCAGTTATATTTTTTGTGTGTCTTCTCATCGCTTATTATGTGCAATAATATATTCCGTTTAGCCATCGAGCGATAACATATTTTTGTTTATAAGTATTAAGTGTCAACTGTTCGCACGTGTATACAACGTACGTAATAGGTAAATGATAAATTTTTTGTTTTCGTATATACCTATAATATCTATAGGTATATCAATATATCATATATTTTACTTTAAAACTATAATAATATTATCTAATTTAATTGATAATATAAATCTTACATGTAATATATTTCTCGTAACATTATACATATGTTAGGTAAAATATTACAAATTAAAATCAATTAGTTTTTAGTTTAGTTATATAATATAAAAAATAAATTTTATTCCAATTATTTAAATCACGGTAAATTTTAAGCACTTATATAATAGGTAGTACATTTTCGTGAATTCCCTATAAATATAAATTATTATAATATGATTGTAAATTTTCATACAATTTAAATTCTTTAAAGATTGTATATCAATCATTTTTATTGATAATATTCTATATTATGTGAGATTGATACCATTAATCTTACCAGTTCACGTAAAAAAACTATTTTTAATGTTGGATATGGTTTCGGAAAATTGATTTTAAATGTAGTTATAAAGAGTTCATCATGTTTAACATATCCATACCCAAATAAGTATATATGCATATTGCTGCTGGGTTTGATTGTGTTAGAGGATAGAGAATAGAGATAGTAAGTATATATTATAATATTATTATTTACATTAATTGAATACATTAAATTTAATTGTTCATATATACTTACATACCGAGAGATATCATATATACTTAAATAAACCAAGATATTATAGGTGTAACATCATAAATAAAATTGATTTAAAATTTATATTTTAGTTGTAGCAATAAATAATAGTTATATAATATATATATATGTATAGTATATTGATGTATTAAAATTACATAGTTATAGTCTTATAGATATAAGTATATACGTATATATATTTTATATACCTAAGTATAATAATGTAATGCAGTGTACATATAACAACATATATGTATATGAAGGGTAAAATAAGGACAGCTTAAAACGACGTGTGTGTTCTAGATACCTATATATCCTGTCGTTACCACTATTATATTTGTTATACAAACTACAAATATGAATGGAAAATAAAAGAAAAACCAATTTTACCTTTTTCTGTCTGTATATTTTGGTTTTTGTTATAATATATTACTATACGCGCCTATTATGTATATCGGTTACTTAAATCCGTAGATCCGTTTATACAAAACTGCATAAGCCCATAATATATTATAATTTGTAATAACAAAACATTATTGGTTCAGTTTCGGAAATACATTTTAAAAATATTTTCAAAACAATATTAGATACATGGTACACCGTTTTTATACAAAATAAAGAGTTTAGAAAAATGTATGTTTTCTTTAATTTCAATTTTATTGTTGTATATCTATATTATATATAGGAAAAATGTTCAATATTTATTTCTATAAGACATAATCAATTAAATAAAATATTATAATTGTATGCTGCGTTGCTGCAGGTAAAATAAAAAAATTAAATGTATCTCGAAATGGATTATAAATAGCTAGTGAACCACCAATATGCCAAACATGTGGCACCATATTCACAATTGAACACATTTTTAAAGAATGCAGTATATATCAAATACAAAGTGAAGAACTATAAACATAAGTCACGACATCGGAATAAGCCTAAATCCATAACTGACATAGTAATATATTAAATAGATAATAGATACATTTTTTATATGAAAATAATCAAATAACATTATACCGTTTGCATTTATTGTTGACAAATTAGTAATTAGTATAGGTTGGTATTCCAATATAACTATATTATGTATAAATATAGTAGAGACTATAGGTATACACAAGACGCATACATAATATATTGTTCATACATTTTTAAGTAATGTATTATTTACAAAAAATAATGCTTCTGTTTTATTWTTAAAATTTTTTTTAAATTCACATTTTTTTTTTTTTTTGATCCCATTTCATTGGTTTGCCATATAAACTCGAATTTTTTCGCAATACATTTTACGATCAGCGTAATGGCGTTCTATAATTTCCATTATTATATATTGTTAAAAATTAAAATCAAATCAAATATTTTGTATAGGTCAGTTAAAATATGTTAAATATAATATATTTTAATTTTATGAACCACGAATAATTTGTATTTTTTTACTAACTGCAGTTATCCGACTATACGGTAAAAAAAAATATGAGACCAGAAATTTTCGACCGGCATTTGTTAGTTCCACCTAAATATAATTTCATTGAGATAAACGATTACTGTTGAGTAATCCAAGTGCTTAATATCCGTGATATCAAGGGCTGTAGTCAATTTGCACCAAAATTGACCCAAAATATTTACAACATGTGTAATTTGCACCATTTTTTTAAAATGCGTTTTTAATTTTCACCATCCTTAGGTAGTAAGAAATAGGAATTGTAATTTGCACCAAAATTAAAATCGATTATTTTTTCGATAGTATTTCGATAGTACTAACTTATAAGTTTTTATATCCTAATATAAATTTAGCTTAGTTTTTATTTATAAAATAGCTGAGCTTATACACTATTATTGATGTAAGTACTAAGTTTATATAGAATTGTATACCTAATTATGAATATAAAAAAAGTTGGCCAATTAAAAAAATTATATGTTAATAAATCGTATTATTATTATTATTAAAATTACGAGTATTATTATTGTCATTCGTATCAATCTAGTCTTGATCTCGACGTCTACGAAGATACCGAGGAAATATCGAATATTTCAAAATCAAATATTCGATAATCGAACAAATAAATAATCATTTTGGTGCAAATTACAAATTCTATTTTCGACTACTTGCAGAGGGTGGTGCAAATTACATATCCTTATTTTGGTGCAAATTACATATTATCTTTAATTTGGTGCAAATTACAAACTCCCATATCGAGGGGTGTCGGACCGATTTCCGCCAAAAATGACCTTTCCGTTTTCCGCCAAATTAGTAAAAACGTCATTCCTTTTTCCGCCAATTATAAATTATGGAATATTTAAGTCGGGGAACCCTTATGTAAAGACTTAATAATTTAATATATTTTTTTAAGTACCTAACTATAATATTTTGTATAGGTAGGTATATACACACTATGCACACTATATATACAGTTAAATAATATAATTTTCCAGTTATTAATTTATTACCAACATACGTAATTATAAGTGTACCTATAAGGTACCGACAAAATAAGTAAAAAAAAATATAATTTTATCATATAACTGCACTTATAACGATAAACCTATGGTTTATTTTGAAATATATCTTATTATAGTCTATATAGTATATAGTATATAATTATAATATCTTTTAATATGGTGGCGGTTTTTAATTTTTATGCCTGCATGCAGTATATGCGTCTGTATCTGCAGAGAAAATATTATTATATAACCTCTGTTATCTGATATCATACTACTGCAATAGCTTGTTCGATTTGTCAAAAATATTTTGGTACCGAGTACTGAGTATAGTGGCTATAGTAATTTTTTAATATTTACATATATATTATATATTATTATACCTAATTATAAGTGTTATGATAAAATTATATTTTTCACTTATTTTATCGATATACATTAATATCAAAAATTATATTATTTAACTCTATAGTGTGCATAATGTCGTGTACCTGTACAAAATATTATAGTTACTTAAAAAAATATATTAAATTTTTAAATCTTTACATAAGGGTTCCCAGACTTTAATATTCTATAATCTATTTAATTGGCGGAAAAAGGAATGACTMTTTTTCTAATTTGGCGGAAATCGGAAAAGTCATTTTTGGCGTAAACCATCAGTGACACCCATATCGAGTTATACGTATAAAGATTATATATACTACCAATACATATAATTTTATGATGATGATAGATTAACCTCCTGTCGCATCGCGATTCGGATATGCACCAATGATTTTAGAATGCTGATGCAATTTGGTTAGTATTATTGCTTATGGTATAATCTTCAAATCTGTCACAAACAATAATTCGGATGTGGAGAGTTTATAAAAATGATTCTGTAGCCAGCGTACCTATAGGAGTATTATAGGAGATTGGAAAAAACACCGTTTAATCCAAAAATAATTGAAAAATTAGAAAACGGACGATGACAATTCAGAGAAACGTGTTGATGGTGCGCCGCCGTGCAGGTAATACATATTGTATCAAGAATAATAATGACACAATCAAGCGGCATGTACCTACCTATGTGACAATTAAGGGCTTACCTACCGAGAAATCGGCGGCGTGCCGTCAGGTCAGTCGTTTCACGGACGGCAAACAACACAAACGGAAACGAAATACGAGTGAGCCCGCTGCCGCCGCCGCCGTCGGACATATTATTTTGTACGCAGAACCGTCGGCGGGTCACCACCACCGAGGTGCCGGTCGCGCCGCGATTGGTCGGCGTGAGGCCCGGTGGGAGTGGCCGGAGCGTGCCCGTCACGTCCCGCCGCCGCCGCCTCCGACAGTCCGCGCACACGAATGCCGACTGCGCGCCACGCACGACCGCACCTCATCAGTCGTAATCGATCGCGTGTCTAAATAATATTAAGTACACACTTACACGCACGCACACACACTCGAACGTGTAATAATAATATAATATCAACGCTTTACACGTACAGGTACGTACGACGCACACGCACGCATTCGCTGGCAGTCACACCTCGAAATATAAGTCTGCTGTTGTATTATTTTTTATTTTTTTTTCGTCTTTCTCTTAATTATACGCACACAATAATTAATATTGTAATATTTTATTTTATTGTTCGCTCTCGTGACTCGCGCAGCACACACACTCGACGACAGCGACGACGACGACGACAACGCAGGTTATGCGAAACCGTTTTATTGAAATATTTACGCGACAGTTATTTAGGTAGGTACCCAATACCGGGTTACGCGACGGTATATATAAATATTATAATGATCGCATTGATTAAATAATATTATAATCTCAATACTCGTTATATCAGTACATGCGAGTTTAAATAACATGCCCATGGATTTACGTCGCGGTGCAGTGCCGGTGCATCGGTTCGTTTTCACATTATTAGTTCGTTAAGTAATACATAATATCATTGCGTCGGAACAAACACATCATTCGTATATCGTATAAAACCATATTACGGCAATGTTCGCCCCGACTAGCTAAAAATCGCGATCCTAATCGTCAATACTGTTGTGAAGGTTAGGTCATCGGTAACGCGCCTCATCCTTCCAAAGTGCTATCACAACCGTATATGATCTACATACCTGCAGCAGGGACCACTTGCAGTTGCAATCGTCTCTATAACCGTTATTGGATAAAGATACATGCAAGTATAGCGCTTCTGCGGGGAATTATAATATAATATTATTATTTTGTCGTGTACGATATAATAATATTATAATACAGAAGACTCYAGCACGTGACAAAAATGCGGTGGACGACCTGCACGTGAAAAACCGCTGCAGTCGACGAAAAATGAACGAATCGGTAACCGTGTGCAGCAGACAACAGGGTCCGTCGTATCACCACCATGGCCATCACGTCGTAGTCATGCCGGCGCAGTGCAACGGTGACGAATGCGCGACCGAGCCACAACCGGCCACCGTGGCCGGTTCGTGGACGGCGTACGGCCATCAGCCCGCGGCGGTCGTCGCCGGTTACCATCAACATCACCACCACCATCACCTGCAACAGCAGCAGCACCAGCAACAACATCAACAGCAGCACCAGCAACAGGACCATCACCTCCATCATCCGCACCATCAAGGAATGCCCGCGGTGCCGCCGCCGCCGCCGCAGTCGTTGATGCACCATCACCATCAGCCGGTAGACGGTGGCGGTTACGCCGCGTGGCCGGCCGCGGTCGTGTACAACAAGAGGCGGCCGTCGTACGCGGACGACGTGCAAGCGTACCATCACGCGCACCACCACGGGCCCCCGCCTCCACCGCCGCCGACGCACCATCAGCCGGCCGGCGCAGCGGCCACCTTGCAGGCCGTCGCGGCCTACAACCCGACGACCGTAACGGCTTCGACGGCCACGTGCTCGTCGCCCGGCACGTCGTTGGACGAACCGTCGTCAGCGGCCGCTGCGGCGSCTTCTGCAGCTTACCAGACGGCCAACGACTACAAGTACTGGCCACCCGTGCAGCAGCAACCGTCGCCCACCGGCACAGGACGTGTGAGCCCGTACGGTTGGATGAAGAGAGTCGAGTACCAGGACCGTCCACAACCGGGTTAGTAAAATATATATCAATAAAATAATAATTATTGGATTATTAATTATTTAAAGCAAAGTAAWAGGTACATAGTTTTTCCCGCCAATCTCGAACGGTTTTTCTCATTCACCCAACAATGTTTCCTTATTAGATATTAATTAATATTTATAGTTATTACAACGGATATTGTTTGACATTTCGTATGCGTTCGAATATACCTGAAATTTGTATAGATTTCCCGATTAAAGCAAACTTATATTAGTAGTACCTACCTAGGTTGTTGTTATGTTGAGAAATTTTAAATTTAAAAAATAAAAAATAAAATTTCTTGTGCGATAGGTTTCTATACCTATTTGACAATTTGACATATTTTTTTAATAATAATATTATTAGTTCGTCGAATCGTATAAACTATATATATAGACTATTCAGCCATGTATTTCACTATATTATTTTTTTGGGTGTATATTTTTCATCGTAGTACCACCACATCATGTGGGGCTGAATTGTTTGCACGCTCCTTGGCCCTCGTGCAGCAATAGGCATTTTGTATAAAAAAGTACTCGTTTTCGGTTGCTCCTACGACCTACATTAAAATATATAATATTAAATAATGATAATATCCAAGTACTATAATTTGTCGTCAAATAAAATTGTTATCGGATTATAAAAATATCTTTAATTGCCACTGAATTTTAGATAAATTAGTGGAACATTTTTTTCGCGAATAATATTGTTATTTAAAAATTGAATAGTTATTGTAATTTTCTAGTATCCTTAAAATTGTGATACAAATTAAACTATTTTTTTTAAATTATCTAGTACTATATTTATTTTTAAAAGTACACTTGATATGATATAAAATAATATTCAGTAGTAGGTATATTATATATTTATTAATGCAATACTTACCAATGTTGTTTCTTTACTTGGAAATTAAATTAAATTTTGTTTATATCGATGATGTTATTTGATTGGTATATAATATTATTATCTATATAAGTTAACAGTTACTTAAATATTTTGTAATTCTATTTCTTTTGGGGCCATATGAGTGAGAAATATTCAAGATATAATTTTGTGTAAAAATATTTGTCATGTTATTTTACAAGTACCTACTTATACCTACTTAAGGACGTGCATTTCGATAATGTTCTTAAAAGTATATAAACAAATACAATAAAAATTTTAAAAATACAAACGTTACTAAAATTCATATTTTTGAACGTAGAAGTATCTATAGCTGTTATCAGTAGCGTATAGCTGTAAACCATTTTTTATTTTTTTTTTTGGGTGGCGGTGGCGGTGGCGGCGAGGGAGAGGTGAAAAAAATTAAATATCTCAATTTAAAATTTTTATTTTTTTATTTTTACAAGTAATAAACAATCTGTATCAATAATTATATTAGACTCAATAAGAATATGTGATAAAAGTTAATAGGTCATGAGGGCTTGTTGAAAGAAGCCACCCTTTGATAACACTTTCTGTTAGCTTGATAATTAATTTTATTTAATTTTATTTAAGAGATCATGACACCTGCACTTATTACGCTTCAAACGTCTCGTAGGATTTACAGGTATTGTGGGAGTGGCCAAGTTTTCTATTAGTTGATTTGGATGATTATTTAAACGGTATAGTGGAATTTTTTGTAAATGATTTTTGCTTCATAATTTATTTTCTTAAGTTTTAAGTCGGTAGTACCTTTTTTTTTCAGTTTTCAACCGACGACGCAGTGGGGAGTGCTTTCGCATTTCTTCCGCTGCGCAAGTCGGTAGTACCTACTGTGTAGTGTAGACTCGTAAGGCGGAATTTTAAATCAGTAATATCAGTAATTTTTTTTTATTCTWACAATTTTCAATATTGAACACATTAAATAATTAATTATAACACAATTCAAAAAGTATATATCCTTATTACGATTGAGTAGATAACAATTAACGGCACGATAAKATCAATGCTTGAAGACTTCGATAAAATAGTTTTGATAACGTAATAATGACGTTAATAATTTGATAAGTTATATCTTAACCGTGCTGAATAAGGAGCATTTAAATACTGCTGCAGGAATGCACCGCTCATGGTGCGCATGCGTATTGCGCAATCGCGGTATTGCACACGCACCAATTAGTAACTGATAAGAGTCTGTGATGTTATACCTATTATTGATTTACATATTTATGTTTTTCTTCCAATTCGTGCATCATTTTCCAGTTATATAATTCTATAAATAATAATTTATAATTCAATATGATTCAAGGTCCATTTAACTCAAATTTAATGACATRATATTGTACCTATACAAAAAACGATTCTGAGCGGAGGCTGTTTTGCTTTTGACCACCCAAAAGTACCAACTAGATACCTTCACTTTCCKATAATAAAAGATGCTGAATAAAATCTAAGCTTTTTTAGTGAGTTAAAAAAAAAGAAAAACGATACATTCATCGCTCAACTCGGAATCTATAATCCATTAGTTACTTTTAATATATGAAATTATTATTACTTCGAAATATGAATAAAACTCCGACTTAAACAAATATTATTGTAGTGAAAAAACTTAAATAAATACCTGTAATATTATTGAATTGTAAAATTTCCTTATTGATCGACATACCATGCTCAAAATTTAAATGATCAATCATTAGAGTTTTCTTTTTAAAATTAAGATTAATGCAACTATTATATTTTGAAAAATGTGATTTTTCGAGAATAATATTTTCTACTTTGTGGACATTTTTTTTATGTCTCTAGTAAGTATTTCGTTGTAAAGGATTTATTAAAAATATCACAAGGAAGATCCGTTTGAAAAAAGAAATAACATATCGCGAATTAAAAAGAAGTTATTATATTTATATACACTAACTAATATTATATTAGTAATATAGATCAGATTTTAGCGTATCATATTCATCAATGAATATTCAGAAATTCCCACATATTACGATTTTATAATCTTGCTTCAATCAATATGTTGGAAATAGATCATGTCCATATACTCTAAATTCCTATTTCATAAGCGTGTTAGGTGAAATGTGTTCTACCTGCAGTCATCTTAAATAAAATAGCATCATAAAGATAGCTCAAGCCTATTTGGGTAAGTTTTGAATACCATACCATAATAATGTATTTATTCAAAATTTTAGTTTGTCGCTTAAATTATTGATAATCGATAATCGATAATCAACATGTTATCAGCTAATATCTACGTTATGCGGACGATAACATATTGCGCATGCGCACCACGAGCGGTGCATTATTCCTGTAAATAAACGCTCCTGCTGAATATCTATACACAATTTTATTATATTATAATGATAACAGTATAATATAGCTAGAAGCGTTCTCGTGAATACATTTACAATTTAAAAGATTTTGCAACATTGCACTGAAGTCAATTATAAATAAAAATGTATGCTTACATGTTATAACTTATAT